ACGGAAGCGGATTTGGTGGCCGGACATGGCTACAGAAAGAGACTTGTTCGTGTCAGAAACGTAAGTACTGAAGTAGAGGCTCTGGGGTCCAGCATCTCCTTGAATCTCCCTCACCCGTCTCAACCACCCCAAGCACTAAGTGTTAAGTTTCTGAGCTTTTCAAGGAATTGTGCCGCCAACTCATTTGCTGTCTTTTTTCTTTTGAAGTCTGGACATCTTCAAGGGATCATAATAGTTGAAAAAACACAGATAAGTGAACAGTACTTTCCGGAAGTCCAGAAGTTTACTGTGCTCGACCTTGGGATGGTGTTGCTCCCGGTGGCCAGCCAGTTGGAAGCATCCTGCCTCATTAACCAGCTGGTAAGTGCCAGCTTCCTCCTTTATGGCATCTGTCTGGGGGATTCTCAGTTTGCCTCAGATCCTGACACACCAAAGCCGCCTTCATTATAGTGGTGTTGGTTCCTCAAAATATTTTTAAAGAGTTATTTAATTTATTCATTTATTTTTTGGTTTTTCCAGACGTGGTTTCTCTGTGTAACAATCCTGGCTGTCCTGGAACTCATGATTTATTTATTTTTACTTTATGTGCATTAGTGTTTTTGCCTGTCTGTATGTCTGTGTGAGGGTGCCAGATCTCCTGCAGCCAGAATTACAGATAGGCGTGAGCCGCCATGTGGGTGCTGGGAATTGAACCCAGGTCCTCTGGAAGAACAGTTGGTGCTCTTAACCACCGAGCCATCTCTCCAGCCCTAAACATTTTTATTTGTTTGTTTGCTTTGTGTTTTTCAAGACAGAGTTTCTCTGTGTAGCCCTGGCTCTCTTGGAACTCACACTCTAGATCAGGCTGGCCTTAAACTCAAAGAGCTCCATCTGTCTCTGCCTCCCAATTGCTGGAATTAAAGGCTTGTGCCGCCACGGCCCAGACTTCTCAAAAGAATTTTGATGCAGAGTCTCATGTAGCTGCATTTATAGGTGAGTATCACCATGTTGGGTTTTAGGCAGTGCTGGACCTTTAATCTCAGCAGAGGCAGGTGGATTTCTGTGAGTTCAAGGCCAGCCTGGTCTATAGAGCAAGTTCCAGGACAGCCAGGTCTACACAGAGAAACCCTGTCTCAAAAAAAACAAAAACAGAAAACAAAACAAAAAAATGATATCTGAACCCAGGTGTTACCCCATGCCAGGCAAACAGTCTGCCAACCAAGGGACACCTCTCTCTGATTTCTGGAAACCCTCCTTCGATCTGATGACTGTTACAGGCCTGCAACAAAGGGAACAAGTTGGAGCTCTGATTTTGGACTCCAGGCTGCACTATTATCCAGCATTTGTACTATGCTGGTAAAAGAGGCACCAGGCAGCCCCTTAGCCTCGTTCTCACATGCCATCGCTTCAGTACCAGCATTTCTTGGTTTGTTTTTTTTTTTGTTTGTGTCCCCCGCCACTCCCCATAGGGCCTTGTGTAGCTCAGGCTGGCCTTGAACTCCTGGTTCTCCGGCTTCTTCTTCCCTAGTTCTTGGAATCACAAACATTTGCCACCATGCCGGCCTTTGCCTCAGTACTTGTGTGCATAGGCTTATTGTATTTATTTCTTAAACATTAATCAATTAAATACCCTGAGGCTGGGGATGCCTCAGTGGCTCAACGCTTGTTACACAAGCATGGGGACCTAAGTTTGACCCCTGGCAAATCCAGGTGAAGATGCTGGGCAAGATGAGACACAGATGTATGTAATCCCAGCCCTGGGGAGAGAGACGGGCCGGCCAGCCAGCCTAGCCAGCCAGCTCCAGGCTAAGGAGAGGCCCCGCTTCAAACTCCAGGCGCATGGAGCCTGAGGAGCCACACTCAGGGCTGACCTCGGGTCTTCATATGCAATCATGTATTCCTACATGGACGCATACACACAACAAAAAGAGATGTCACTGGTTTCTTGTCCTTTGCTCTGTGTGTGGGTGTTCGGTTTGTCTCCTCATGCTTTCCTAGGGAACGTGTCTGCTTTCCCATACCAGGTGTCACCGTGTAGCCCAGGTGGGCTTGCAGCTTGTCACGCTCACTTCACACTTGTAGGCCTCTCACCTGAGCGTCCTGAGTGCTGCGAGTAGGCCTTATGCCATCCCCATTCTCCCCGCGACCTTGGCAAAAGTGCCACCAGCTGGCAAGTGTTCAGTGGGTTCGCTTGCCCCCTGGAGCTCCCATGAAAGGGGATTCTACTCCCACAAACTGCCTTTAGACTTGTACATGCACGCAATGGTGCACGCATGCCTCCCCCAAATACTGTGAGATTGAATTTCATGCTCACACAAAGCCCCAGGAACAATTCACAAAAGTCAAACCAAATAAACAAGCTAATTAATTAACATAGTGATGGGAGACAAGGTTCGTGGGGCATGCCTACAATCCCAGCTTTCGAGATGGAGGGAGGGATAACTTTGAGGCTAACCTGGGCTACATAGTAAGGCTCTGTCTCAACAGAAAAATAAGTGACAGGATTAGATTAGAATGAATATGTGTGTGCGTGTGTATGTGTGTGCGTGCGTGCGTGCGTGCGTGCGTGCGTGCGTGTGTGTGTGTGTATAGCTCTGAGGTAGACCCCTTGAGGCTGAGTTCAATTCTTAGCACTAGGGGAAAAACAAGTTATATATGAGCTAACCTCTGACCAGGATAGGGCCTGAGTATTTTTTGGTATGTTAGTTATTATGTTATTAGGGTTTTTTATTTTTAAATTTTTGTGTGTGTGCATTATATGTATATAGACACACATGGCATGGCATGCTTGTAGAGGTTAAGAGGACAACTTTGGGGGGTCCACTCTCTCCTTCCGCCTTTGCCTGGATTCCAGGGATCAAACCCAAGTCAGCAGACTTGTGCAGCAACCGCCTTTACCTGCTCAGCCCTCTCAGAGGCCCCTGGGTTCCTGCTGTTAAGTGGATGAGCACCTAGGGTTGAGAAGCAAATTGGAAATTCCTACTGACTCCTGTACACCACCTCCAGTGTTCTGCCAGTAGAATGCCCTTGTCTGCCTGGGTGTCAGGGTGTAACGGCCTCTAGCTGGGGTCCATTTCTCCTTTGAGAGCTTGTTGGGGTCCTAGCAGGGACACACAGCTGCTCTCATTATTTTTTGTTTTGTTTTGTTTTGTTGAGACAGGGCTTCTCTGTGTAGCTTTGTAGATCAGGCTGGCCTCAAACTCAACAGAGATTCAGCTGCCGCTGTCTCTGCCTCCCGAGTGCTGGGATTAAAGGCGTGCGCCACCACCACCAGCTGCTCACTCTTGACTGAAGAACGATTCTATGTAGGAGACCTTTGTTCTCTTCAGTCAAATGTGTGTTATCAGTGGAGTGGCAGGTGTCCCTATCAGATTGCCTTCACACCCTGATATCACCTGGTGTATTATTCTTTGAGACAGGGTCCCACTGTGTAGACCTGGCTGACCTAGAGCTCACAATGTAGATCAGGCTGGCCCTGGATTCACAGAGCTATGTCTGCCTCTCCAGTGCTGGGATTGCAGGCCACACTACCCCATGTGACTCGCGCGTCTTTTGTTAGGCAGAATTCTACAGGTCCTGTTTGAAACAGGTCTCTGAAGTATTTTTTACATTGTTTTTCTTTAAATCTCCGGTCTGTCTATCTGTCTGTCTCTCCAGTGACACTGTCTCTCCAGTGTGCTGGGATTAAAGATGTGCACCACCACACCTGTCCTGAACTAGTTCTAAAAAGCTATAAGTATGTAAATTCTTCATGTTTTTGACCAGTTTTACCCTAAATATTCTGAAAACTCAGTTTGTAGGTGTGGGTATGGAGGTCAAGAGACTTTTGGGGGTGAGTTCTCTACTTCCTCCTTCAGATAGGAACTGAACTTAGGTCACCAGACTGGCACAGCAAACACCTTTACCCACTGAGCTATCTCTAGGCCCTGTCGTCTCTGTTATTAGGTCGATTTTTAATTATTTGCTTCTTTTTTAATTTGCAGAGCTGGGAATCGAACATAAGGCCTTGGCATGCTAAGCAAGCATTCTACCACTAAGCTATAGTCCCAGCACTTTAAAATAGGGTTTTTTGTTTGATTTTTGTTTTTTGTTTTTTTTTTGTTTTTTTTTTTTTTTGAGACAGGGTCTCTGCCCTTGGCTGTTCTGAAACTTGCCATGTAGACTAGGCTGCCTTTGAACTCACAGAGATCTGCCTGCTTCTGCCTCTCCAGTGTGCTGGGATTAAAGATGTGCACCACCACACCTGTCCTGAACCAGTTCTAAAAAGCTAGAAGTATGTAAATTCTTCATGCTTTTCACCAGTTTTACCCTAAATATTCTGAAAACTCAGTTTGTATAAATTCTCTTTTTCCTTGGTCATATTTAATATATAGTCTATATCGAGCCAGGGGTTGGTGGCACACGCCTTTAATCCCAGCACTCAGGAGGCAGAGGCAGGTGGATCTCTGTGAGTTCGCGACCAGCCAGGTCTACAAGAGCTAGTTCCAGGGCAGCCTCCAAAGCCACAGAGAAACCCTGTCTTGAAAAACCAAAAAAAAGAGGTCTATATAATCTAAATAATTTCACCGATATCTAAGAGTTTGTATTTCGGACCCATAAGCTGAAGCAAATGGATAAACTGTTCCAAGGGGCTGGGGAAATGGCTGTATGGTAAATCTCCTGCCACACGGAGTCGAGGACCAAGTCCCTGAGGAGGTGAAGACTGGAAGGTCCCTCGAGCTCATTGGCCAGGTGGGCTCTAGCCAAGTTGGTAAACTCTGAGTCTAGTAGGAGACCCTGCCTCAAAAAATAAGGTGGAGTAATAAGGAAGAGGCCCGATGTCAGCCTCTGGCCCCTACTGTACATATGTGTGCATACGGGAGCCAGGGGCGCACGTTTTTACAGAAACTGTCCACCAGGAGGCGCCCGTGTGCTTTCCCTTTAATTTTCCCATTCAGGTTCAAGAGCAAACCAGGGAGCCCAGCAGGAACCCTTTCCTCAGGAAGAAGCGGTGTGCGCTCTCCGAGCCGTCCCTTGTTCAGACTGTGCAGCAGATCCCCGGGGTTGGCAAAGTCAAGGCTCCACTTCTGCTGCAGAAGTTTCCAACGATCCAGCAACTGAGCAACGCTTCCGTCCAAGAACTGGAGGAGGTCGTGGGACCCGCGGTGGCACAGCAAATCCACAGCTTCTTCGCCGGACCTCACTGACCCCAGCCCTGCTGCAGCCAGCCTCTCCTCCTTTAGACTGCCAACCACAGCGTCTGCTCTTCATACTTAAAAAGGAAGAAGAAAAAAAAAAGCCGTTCTCTCAGTGGCAACATGGAGCTCCCAAGTCACCCTGCCTTGTCTGTCAGGACAGTGACTTTGTGGGCCTTGGGGCTGTGGTGGCACTACCCACTTTCTGCTGAGATGAAAAGGGTCCCGTGGCGATCACCCAAAGGGTGTCAGACTGATTGCAGCAGCAGCCAGCCGGAGGAGGTCTGTACCGCCCCTTCCCTGCCTCTGCCACTGATTGAGAGGTCCTGGGCAGCTCCAGGCACTGCAGGAGAGGAGCTGGCACTGGTAGGGAGTGCCCCTGTTTCCAGTGTCAAGGCCACAGCTCAGGTCTTCTCTGCTCACATCAGGTACCTGCGTTCTGGAGTCGCTGCCAGTGTAAGCAAACACCTCTCTTCCTTCCTTCACACCCCCCCCCTCAACACAATAAAAATATTTTGTGCCTCAGATGAATAACGATTCAGAAAAAGTAATTCAAATGAAATGAAGCAAAGGAAAATATTAACTCAAACAATGAACATGACTATTTATTTAAATACTTATATAAAGAGCCCCGGGGATAGTGGGCACACTTTCCTAAAGGCACTGGCTTTCTTAAGATATTGCACAATAGAAAAATATTGAAATTCTTTTACTTCTCAAATTAAGATCCACAGGCTACAGCTTTAAGCAGAGCACTTAAACTATGTCAACCGTGACTCAGGAAAACAGTCACGGTGTCATCCAACCTATAGCCCCAAAGTCAAGTTGGTAGGTAGATACATCTTAAAAAGTCAAGTAGAGATTTCAACTTGAGGAAGTTTACGTCTTTACCTTGTAAACTGCAGAACTACTTCTTAAACCAAGACTCTTAGAATACATAGTGACATACTTCCTACTTTAAACAACAAGAACGTTTTGAGTATCAAACAGCATATTATCTACCCTGTAGACAGTATCTCCTAACACTGCCATCGTGTTAGCAACTGGTCAGCGGGAGCCGACTGGAGGGAAAGCTGATCCTGGAAAAAAGTCAAGGCAGAATTGGCACTGGACTTTATCTGGGAAATAACATTCAAATTATGGAGGGATTTCATAAAATATTGCCATGTTCAGCTCATGAATTCCCAAGGGGAGAAAGCAGCCTGTTTTGTTTTTGTTTGTTGAGACAGGGTCTCCATGTAGCTCTGGCTGTCGTGGAACTCCTTCGTGTCCAGACTGGCCCCGAACTCACAGAGATCTGCCAAGCAGCCTGGCTTCGGTAAGCCACCTCTAACCTGCCTCCATTCAAGGGTCATTTGAACTTGAGGTTAAGAAATCACTACTACTCAAATCTAGACACTCAGAAATATACCAAGGGAGGTGGCCCCAATTCATCGCTCACAGTGCCTGAATGTCATAACCACAGTCATTAAAAACAGCCATATCATCCAGGCTCTTCTACGTCCTACTTTATAGAATAAATAACTGCCTCGGTAGTTCGAAAATCCCCCTGCAGTTGGGTTTTCCATCAATTTTTAGGTTTCTTCTTGCTTTCATAAGCCCACCAAACACAAGTTTACACTCTGAGAAGAGGGTGTTGGAGAACGTTTCCATCATGGCGTAGGTGTTTAAACAGGCTTCTTGTCCTCGGAGTGAACTGTTCTGTGTTCAGTACAGAGAGCTGTCGGAGTTGAGCAGGCTGAAGGGTGTCGGGAGTTTCTTCTTGGTTTGAGGCCTTGCGAGTCCGACCGAGGGGAGGTAGAGTGTGCTGGCTGACTTCTGTCTGTTCTTACTGGTGCCCCAACTCAAAAAGGAGAGCTTTTTTGAGATCTTCTTGGCTTTGTCAGTTTTATCGTCATCATCCATGGACAGGCAGATCATGGAGTAAGTCTTCTGCATTCCCACAGAGTAGGTGGCACACTTATTATGCTGTTCGTGGGGGAAGGAAAACGGAAAGTGTTATTCACACCACAAGGGCATTTGCTCAGCTATGTTCACAGCAACATTATTCGTAACAGCCAGGTCTTGGAAACAACCTAGATGTCCCTTAACTGAAGAATGGATAAACACAAAGTGGTAAATATCACAATAGAGTAGTACTCAGCGGGAAGAAACAATGACATCTGCCAGGTGGCGGTGGTGGCAGTGCACACCTTTAATCCCAGCACTCGGGAGACAGAGGCAGGCAGATCTCTGTGGGGTTGAGACCAGCCTGGTCTACAAGAGCGAGTCCCAGGACAGCCTCCAAAGCCACAGGGAAACCCTGTCTCAAAATAAATAAATAAATAAATAAATAAATAAATAGGAAAAAACAAATACAATAAATAAATAAACAAGAAAAAAGAAACAATGACATCCTAAAATTCCCAGGCAAATGGACAGAACTCGAAAAAAAAACATCCTGAGTGAGATAACCCAGGCCCAGAAAGACAAATACAGTATGTACTCACTCATAAGTGGATACCAGACATGAAGCAAAAGATACCCAGCCTACAACCCACAACCCCAGAGAAACTAGAACCCTCTTCTAGAAACAGATGGAGGCAGATGCAGAAATCCACAACTCACCATTGGGCTGAGCTCCTGGAGTACAGTCGAAGTGAGGGAGGAACAAAAATATGAACAAAGGAGTCAAGACCATGATGGGGAAACCCACAGGTTCAGCTGACCCCAGCCAGTGAGAGATCACTGACTCAGGTCTGACAAAGGGGGAACCTGCCTAAGACCAAACTAGACTCCCTTAATATAGGTGACAGTGGTGTGACTGGGACAATATAGGCAGTGGGTCCAAGCCCATTCTATATGGAGAGATACCTTGCTCAGCCTAGACACAGGGGTGTGGGGTGGAGAGGGGCCTTGGTCCTGCCTCAACTAGATGACGGGACAGACTTAGTAGACTTCCTAGGGGAGGCCTCACCCTCTTTGTGGAGCAGTTGGGAGGTGAGGGGAGCAGCAAGAGAGAAGGGAGGGGAAACTAGAACTGGAATGTTAAAAAAATAAATTAATTTTTAAAAAAGAATTAAAGTGTTAGCTATTACTAGACAGTTAGTAATGATTGAAAAGTCTGAGACTCAAGCCAGGTGAGGTGACGCATGCCTGGAATCCCAGCACTTGGGAGGCAGAAGCGGGGGGGGGGGGAAGTAGATTAGAAATTGAAAGCCAGGCTTGGCTACAGAATGAGTTGGAGGCCACTGAGTCACTAGACTCCTCAGGTCTTAAGGCTCCCATTGCACACTGGCAGCGGCAGCATCGTCTTTTTAGTTAGGGTGATGTCAGCAAGATGTCTCAGAGGGTAAAGGTGTTGAAAGACCCCAACTCAAGCCCAGCCTGATACCCGCCAGCATGTATTTGAAAATCACTCTGGCCACACACACAGCTCTGGGAAAAAGAACACATGAAATGGTCGGTCAGGATGACCAGTCTCTGGAAATTGTTATCATTACTAGTTTCTGTTATCCTCAACAACTGTCTGCTTTCTAAAAATTGTTATGGGTTACCCTGCTCCGGAGCACTCAAGTTTTGAAAATAAGTATAAGTCACTCTGTTCCCGTAAAAAACACTAGCTGTCCCATGGACTTGCAGGTGTAAAAACCAAAATAACATTCCAAACCCCTCGTGGGCAAAATTGTAAGTCCAGTTCTCCACCAATCAGTAAATGACTCATGTATGTTATAGCCAAACAATATGTTGTCATACTCCTGCCTAGTGACCAAAAAGACATAAAAACTGCCTGCTTTAGAAACTTGGGGTTGATCTCTTCCCAGGGAACGACCACAACTCGTTGGAATAAAATCCTTTTGCTTTTGCATGAACTTTCGTCCTGTGAGTGACTCTGTGGGGTGTGTCTCCCGAAGCTGGTCCCCCTTTTGGGCCCAACAGTGCTTGCTACCAAGCCCAACAACCTGAACTTAGCCTCTGAATCTGTCTGACAGAAAAGGAAAAAGTCTCCTCAAGTCATCCTTCGGCCTCCGCATGCGTGCTAT